CCCCCCCCCCCCTCCCCTCTCCCATTCCGTCGGGGAGGGCCCCTGACGGACCGGGGATTCCTGGATAGGGGAAACCCTACGAGCAACGAGCAGAACAAACGCGACAACGCGAGGCGTCCTTCAGAGGCTCCAGAGCAACTCCTAAAAAAGCACTGCGACTCGACGGCGAACTTTGGGCCATGCAACTGGGATTCGGACTTAACATGACAGGCACAAAAATTCATTTAAAAAAAAGATTCAATGAAAAATGAAGAGTTCAATGTAGAGCAATACAGACAAAACGATGAAGCCAATCAACAACCAGACATTAAAGCAAAAATGCTTACTAATTTGAGATTGAAATCAAAAAATCACAGATGTGGAACAAAACAACTTAATCTAACTTGAGCACATTAAACTTATTGATCATGTATGCATGCCACAAGAAAGATATCTCCTTGCACAAATAGCGTAATTAGTGTGACACTGTAACACTGCTCTAACAGGTAAGTTCGTAGAATTTTGGTGACAATAACTTATCATTCTAGGAAAACAGAGATAGAAAAGAAAATACTCACGGTCAGAAAGGTCTGAAGCCTAAAGGCTTTCAATTGATTTGCTCATAAGTTGAAAGAGAACATCTAAACAAAATCATTGTTGTCTAGTCAAGTTAGAACAAACAAAAATATTTATTGAAAATAATCAGAAATTTGAAGAAGAAAAAAAAAACCTTTAACCGACTCGAGCGAACTTTGACTTTTTCTTTATTTATAAGCAGAAATTACATTGCTTAAAGCATGTGACACCATAACTCTTACAGCGCTCTAAAAAAGGAAAATCAGTGACTTCAACTAACTTGCGTTTCATAGTGACACCTCATTATCAGACATATTCCCTTCTGACAGACGGCTTAAAGGCTTCTCACAGGGGGATCTTCATGTGTGTCTTTGCAAAAAGCAGCAATTGTTTTTATTTTCTTTTTTTATTTTGGTACAGAAAATGCATAACATTGGTTTCTTTAAAAGTTGTAAATATTAAAATAGATAAAGGTAAAGAGAGGAGATGAGACTTTTTTTGGTAGCAAGTTAAAACCATAAAAACTACTGACTTTTATTGGAATGAGTTTCTAAATGATTTGAGTTCAGTGACACACCATTTCAGCCCATTGGGACCATAGAAGCTACAGTTGATGGTTGCTTTATTTTCTCATGTGTTCATAGTGATCAATTGCAGTTATTCTCTTGTATGTTCCCAAGGAATCTAATATTGTTACTAATCAGACTTAAAATTAATGCTTAATGTAGTGAAATAATTGTAGTTCAATTTTTCTTGTTCTGGTTAGTTGTACAGAAGAACAATCGGTTCTGTTGAGTACCCATTCTATATGAAAGGGAAAATGAAAGATTGACATTTTCTTTCCCTTAATTCAGTATATATTATTCAAAGTCAACAAATGTGTACAACATAACAAAAAATCACTAACAGAAGCTCAAA